TTTCAGCGAGCCCACTCTGTCGTGATCCGTCAACTGCTTTCAGAATGTGTAACCGTCCAGATGTTGACCTCCGCTTCTCACTTTACCTGGTTTTGTCAGGGGGCCACTGAGGGTGCATTCTGTGGAATGTGTGGAATCGTGATGTGATGTTGTGCAAAAGTATCGGCCGGATCACTTCAGGAGCGTCTGTGTTTTCTGTGGGGAAGAGGAGTCACAGACTTGAAGAAACATCATTTGTCCTGATTCGTTTCTATCAGGGTTCGTTTGAGGCATTTGAATCCGCTGTGGTTTAATACCAGGAAAGGTCGGGGTTGAATACAGGGATTTAAATGTAGAACTGGGTCATGTAAACAATTTTCCAAACTGGAGAAGACAAGATTTCTGTTGTTTTTTTTTTTTTTAGAAAGTTCACTATGTTACAAGAGAAAATAGCACCATGTCCGTTCCTTAGTTTATTATTAACAGTCATTAAATGACGACTAATAAAAACCATAAAACAGTAAATTCATTCATCCAGTGGTAGAACAAACCCTTATCCACTAACGCTCATGTGACTTCATTTTCCCTTTCTCCCTGTAAACGTATTTCCTGTTCTCTGCCTCATCTCTCGCTGCTGACGCTTCTCTTCGCCTCACATTCCTCCAGCCCACATGAACGTCCGTGGTCATTCACACTCAGGACGGCGTAGGTGAACGTAGATCTGATAAGTGTTGGAGCGAGTGTGGAGGAGGCAGATTGTGGATGCCAGACATTTCTGTGGACCCTGCCGGGTTTTTCCCTTATTTTACAGACTTTATTCAAAAACTCACACAACGAGCAAAGAAACAAAGAAGGGATTATCAACTGCAGAGTTAAACTTGTTGGATTTAAACAGCAGCAATATGATGCTGCAGGATTCAGGAGGAATTACAGAAAGCATCTTTTGAGGCTTTGATTGCTAACATGGAGGAGGTGAGGTTTATGAACATTACTGCAGCCAGCCACCAGGGGAGCTGTCATGTCGTCCATCTTTATAAATAGTCTATGGGTGCAATTAAATCCTCTTTAAATTTGAATCTTTAAATTGAAATTCACTGTTGATCAGTGTTGGTTGGTTCTGACGCACTCTGCTCGCTGCAGCAGCTGGACCGAATAAAACTACATGTTCATGATGTTTAGACAATAATGATCTAGTTACTCAGACGTCAGTATTTAATTTGCCCTATGGTTAAAACCAACACTCTTCTGGATAAAAGAAATATTTACATTTTCACTGCAAATAATGTTTCTCCGCCAAGACATTGACCAATTTGTTCAGGACAGCAGCCGTTAAACGAAGAGATGGACGACTGTGATGCAGTTTGATGGTCACATGGGTCATTGAGTAACATCAGCCTCATGGTGAAGTTAATGTGAGCACAGAGACGGTAACAGTGGAGTTTGAGACGTGGGGTCAAACGCCTCAAAGCTACAAGAGCCTCTGTATTGAATGAGGAACTTTGCCCCTTAGCTTCTTTATATCCAGGATTATAAGTTCCGCTGTGGAAATCAGTATTTTTGTTTACACCGGCAAGAAAAGCTCTCGAAACTTGAAGTGGACGTCTTCTTCTGCATCTCCTACGTGTACAGCTCCTCTTTTTCATCCTGAGATATTTGTTCATTCCTCTGGTTCCACGTCTGTCACGTGTTAGAAACTTCATCCTACTCGCTTGCTGTGAATATTCTGGACATTTTCCCTGTTGGATTTTCTAGGAAGCTGGCAGGAAAACTTCCGGAAAATCCCCAGAGCAACTTTAGACTTAACCTCAACCCTCTGGAAAAATGCAGTGCGTGACAGAAAGCAGCTTTTGTGAATTTCTCAAACAATAATGCAAAAAATAACATAGTGACATTTATGGGTGTGTGAAATCTTGATTGAATATAAGCGACTGTTGGATCTTGAGCTCTACTGAGTGACAATCTAGTATATTTCAAGTGTTTGTTTCATATCTGCCTGGAAAATATTTTCAGCTGCTGAATTACTGTTCAGCCACTTCCTGTCTGTTTGTACCCAGTATGGTGCAGATCTGGTCGCTGAGTCAGGATGAAGGAATGTGATCCAAACCTAAATTAAAAAGAAAACAGAGGGGGTGAGGTTCCTTACAAGATTTCAGTGGAAATTCCATAATATTTCCTATTTATTAAATTTTATTTGTTTGCTTAAGTTTATTTTAACCAGAACGTGTCCAGGACGCCGTTGACGGCAGTTTATGCTTTTTTTTTGAATCATCTAGAGTAGTTTGAAAAAAAGAGGTGTCATCTCATTCCCTTCAGAAACTTGATGTAAATCAGGTGGTTTCCCAAACTAACATTTAGAAAAAGTCCCTCGAGAGCAGCTGTCACATAAGTTCAACCTGTGGTCTGAAGCTGCAGCTTCTTTTCTCTCTCATTGAAGTGGTTAGAAAACACACTCAGCTACTTCCTGACTGGTTACAAAGCAAATGTTTGCTCTTTACCTCGTGTCCTCACGCGTCTCTCCTCGTGGCCACTTGATGTTTCGATGTTTCAGCGTTAAGAGCGCTCAGGTTTTTACGTGTTTGGTTTGTTTACCTGTTTCAGTCGTCATGAGGTGACACTGAACCCTGCGTTGTGTGTTCTGTTGAAGTAGTAAGGGGAGCGTGGTTATCATGGCAACGCTCATCCTCGCTGGAACAGGGATGAATAGAGGCATTATGGTGAGAATTGACTCTGCGGATGAAGCGAGGCGCTGCCCTTGAGCGCTGCTGATTTTTTATTTATTTGTTCGTTGAAGTGATAGCAGCGTCGAGGCCTCTGTGGTTTGGCTGATAAGCAGCTCTCCTGCTGTCAAGGCAGCTGCAGCTGCGCCTCAGCCATTTTATTGTGCATGATTTACAACAGTCCAGGAGTTTGTCTCCTCTCTCCCCATTTATCTGTCACACCCTCCCTCCCTCCCTCTGTAACACACACTCTGTCAGGATCTCTGCTGGAGAGTTGTCATTGATAGTCTCTTCTGAGTCTCAGAGTTTCTTCTTGTTGGCTGTTGAGATTGTGATCTTATTTACGAATGCTGTAGATGATGATTATATCATTATCATGGAGATGTGAGCGTGCCAGATTATCTACGTCTGAATCTGCCCAATATCACCTCATCTGCTGCGACTGAAGAGTTTATTGTGAGTCACTCACGTGAAGGATGCAGAGATGTGAAGTAAACACATTTATCATGTTTTAGAAACTGTAGAAAACTTGATGGACTTTGTTGCCTGAGCTAAAAATTAGTTTTGTGTGATTGGATATAACTTTATCACTATTTCTTTGTTTATCATTGTTCTGCTCAATCTTTGTGTCCCAGCTCTTTTGAAATGTGACCATGAACCTTGTGTCCTCTTTTCTCTTTGTTCTTTTGTCTGAACCTCTCTCAGGTTTCACTTCATATCTTTTAACTTTTTCATCATAAAACCTAAAACACAAGCTCACGAGCAGCTGCTGTAGATGATGTTACTTCTCATCACGCCCGTCTTCCACATCCACTGCCTCGTCGCAGCTTGTTTCCACGGTAACAAGAACACAACAGAGTAGACTTAATGTAAGCGAGCAGATCCCGAGTCACACTGAGCCTTTGAAACTGACTCTGATGACTAACGCTCCCAGGACACACAACAAGGGGCCGTGACAGATGACTGTGGCACGGCAGATTACATGCCATTCCTCCGCCAAGGCCTGCACTCCCTCCATGATTCACGCCGCTGCAGCTCTGCTATTTAGGTTCGACGTGTCGGGCGGCTTCAGCGCTCAGTGTCACAGTCTATTTCTCTGCAGTGACACAAACTGCTGAGTGGAAGCACATGCTGTTGTGTGATGAACTTTTCTCCTGTGTCACAGAGCAAGTTATTTACGACCTAAAAGCGACGCTGCTGAGTTGCATGAAATGTTTGCATCAAACTGTGACCAGGTTATTATCAAAGCTTTAGTATCAACAGAGACAGAGGCTCTTTATTCTGGATTTATTAGAAATACAACACAGTTCAAATGGTGAAAACATCAGAAATTACAATAAACCATAAACATATTGTGGTGCAGACTTTGACCTTGTCTGCATTTATGCTGTGGTCAGTTTTATTCTGGTGTTCACACACACACACACACACACACACTTGTTGTTGGTGTTCATTCAGTCTCTGGTGCAGAGTTTGCAAATCGAGTTTCCTTTAACAAGAAATAATATTTGTTATGTCTTCGTACTTGTTCCAAATGCAAGAATATTCTTCTCAAAACACTGATCACAGTGTTGCAACCAGACTGAAGGGACTGAAGTCCCACTCGGTGTCTCAGGTCGAGCTCCGTCCTTCGAAGGAAACAATTCTTTATTACTCTTTAAACCTTCAGAATGAGATTTTTCAGTTGTATTTAAACTTTTAATCCATTGAGTTGTTTCAGTTGTGCCGTATTCAGCAGGGATGCTAGAGGATGCACACACGATGAATGTGAACGTGACTTTTATTCTGCTCAGTCATCATCACTGTGGTGCTTTGTGGTTTTCTGCATCTTTGTTTTGCATCATTCAAGAGACAACAACAACAAAATGCAGCGATGGTGACACCCGGCAGCCGACAGGGCTCCCGCTCATGCAACAAGCCGCTTGGGTTGAGTCCATGTTTGGGTACAAACAGGCTGCAGCCTGCATTGTAGTGGCAGTTTATCCAGTGAGCTCTGTTTAGCAAGAAGCTATTGTTCGTCCGTGCACGACCATGTGCATGTTTTACAAAGTATGACTCAGTCGGAGCGAAGAGAAGAGAGCAAGGTCATAATTAAAGGGTTTTGCCCCCAAAAGAGGTGTTTAACTTTATGTTCTGTGCAGCAACATCTCCCTCAGTCTTCAACTCCCTCTAATCTGCTCCACACTGATATTTAAAAAGACGCTTCCACCAGGAGGAGTCAAATACTTTGTTTTCGACCGTTAACGCTTGGTCATGTAGAATATAGAATTAAATGTCTCACCGATTGTCCCCTCTGCCTTTTAGAGCTCGACGCAGGAGATCGGTGAGGAGGCCGAGGACGACGCCATCTTCACCATCACGCTGAGGAAGGTGCAGCTTCACCAGTCGGCCAGCAAGGGGCAACGATGGCTGGGCGTGGACACGGACTCGGCCCTGAGCCTCTACGAGACCTGCAAGGTGCGGACCATCAAGGCCGGCACGCTGGAGAGGCTGGTGGAGTACATGGTGTCGGCGTTCAGGGGCAAAGACTCCACCTACGTCACCATCTTCCTCTGCACCTACCGCTCCTTCGCCACCACCAAGCAGGTGCTGGATCTCCTGCTCAACAGGTAAAGTGTCGACTCACCTGGCTCTGGACCCGGGTGATAAACGTTAGCAAAGGAAGAAGAAATAAACAGTTTCTCCAGAAGGAAAGAGCGAGCACAGGAATGAAAAGAATATGTTTAGACTCTGGGAAACTTCCCATGAATCATAACTGAATCTAGATTAAATTAAAGTAGCAGGACGCTGGGAGAGTGCATACCTCCGCCAAGGCTAATACTTTATATCACCACGTTAAACACAGTGAAACACAATTCCTGGATCAGCCGGTTCTTTCGCATCAGCTCCATAATCTTCCTTGAGTCATGCCACTCGCTTTCACAGCATTCGATGGAATCCTGCAGAAAGACAAGCACACAGACAGACGAAGAGAAAGACAGGCACACAGACAGACAGGTACACAGACAGACAAACAGAAAGACAGGCACACAGACAGACAAACAGAAAGACAGGCACACAGACAGACAAACAGAAAGACAGGCACACAGACAGACAAACAGAAAGACAGGCAGATAGACAGATGAAAACATGAGTTCCTTGTCGAGGTAATAAACAACACATGACTCCTAAATGAGATTAACAGTAACGGTAATAAAGATGTTGTGAAAACAGGAAACCAAAATCACAGAACCCTGACGTTAGACTAGGTTTGTCTGTGTCTATATAACGTATAAATGTGTCTGAGCACAGGTTTCTTTATTTTCCTCTATTTTATTTAACCATGTGATCTTGTGTTTCTTCTCTTTAGGTATGCCAAGCTCCAAAACGTGCCTGCAGCCACAGCACACAGAGTCTCCCAGGACGACTGCACAGAGCTGAGAAAGTGAGTGTGCTGCGACCTTCAGTGTCGAGCTGCCAACATCAATCAGCAAGAACATTCACAGTGCAGAGCCTCCTCCCTCTCCTCCCTCTCCTCCCTCTCCTCCCCTCCGCAGGTTAAAGGGATATCAGCAGAGTTTAAAGTTGCAGCGGGTTATTTTTCTTTCCGAGACACCTGTCAGGCCGTTTTCTGCTTGGGTTTGATGAAACGCAGTTCGCGAAACTGATAAAAACGTCATGAATCACACGGAGGAGAGCAGTTTCAGTTTTACTAAAACAGGTCGTAAGCTTTGTTAGCATCTGTTCAGGAGGACATGTTTAAAAAATAATAATTTATTATTGTATTTTAAATATAAATTTGTGGTCAGACTCTCGAAACTCAGCGATTGTATTCCCCAAAAATTACACCATGCATGTGGGGGGAGGAGAAGATGTTAAATAAAGACAGACGATTGATTGAAGAGGAAATCTGAAGAGAAGAACTAATCTGTGACACAAATGTCTAAAGACAAATTAAAAAACAGGGACATTAAAAAGTTAAGAGCAGAGACACAAACACAGGATAAGTAGGAGAAGTTTTGAACCAAAGCTGCTCCTCCATGTTTAGTTTGTCGTGTGGGAGCAGTTGCAGCTGAGCTCTGAGGTTCAGTTAGAGTTTGGTGGAATCACTGAGAGCATGAAATGATTTTATAAAGCTTTGATTAGAACTCTGCAGAAACCCTGTATTTGTAAGGATTCTACTCTCGTCAATAATAAGTTTAGCTTTTTCTCTCTCAAAGAATTTATTCAGCAGTGACGACTCTAACATCAGCCTAGAATGTTGCCTCACACTTATATTCCATATTTATTTTACAATTTACGTCATTCCGTCTTTCAGTTTCTGTACTTCTAACTTTGCGTCCGTGTGTTGCAGCACTGTCTCGTCCATCCTGGGCGCGTGGCTGGACCAGTACTCCGAGGACTTCTGGACTCCTCCCAACTACGACTGCCTGCACCAGCTGCTGTCGTACCTTCACCACCACTTCCCCGGCTCGGACCTGGAGCGTCGCGCCCGCAACCTGGTGGCCCACTTCCACCGCCGACAGCAGTGTGAGCCTGATCCTGATGGTATGAAGGCAGGGCAGGAGAGGACAGGGACACCAGGGCAGGGAATCCAGAACCTGTGGTTGACTTTAAACGATGTACCGAAGAGAAACAAGCCCTAGATTTGATTTATCGTGTTGAGAAAAGTGGGGAAAAAAGGACAGAAACAGCACATGAAGTGTAAACACAGCGTCAGGTCACATGCTCTAACACTTATTGAATAACAGCTTGGTTGTACCAGTGATAAGAACATGTTGACAGTTCCCATCAGCACACATCAGACTGAGCTCGGAGAGAAAAACAAACACCGAGGTCACAGAGAGGATGACGTGGTGAAAGAGAAGAAGAGCAGGAGCTGTGTTGAGTTTGAGCTCAGGTTGAGACGGTGTCGTGATAAAAGATGTTCTGTTTTTTTTTTTTTATCTCTTCAGGGGAACACATCGGCTGCCCTTTCGCTACGCAGGAAGAGAGCGGCTTCGAGGACGAGCTTCCTGCTTTTAGTTTCCTTTCGTTCGACCCCATCATGGTCGCGGAGCAGTTCACGTTAATGGACGCGGTGAGGCTTCCGTTGATTTAGTCTCCTAGTCTCCAGCCCCTGATGACTCCCATCAGTTTTCAGTTCATATCCACAAAAAATGTTTTAGATTCTGTGACTTAGGTTCTATTGTTTGTGTGTCTGAATTAATTTGAATATTATATTTTTATTAATTTATTTTGTTCATAAAATGTCAGAAAATTGTTAAAGCTTTTTCTAAAGCTCAAGGTGAAATGTGTTTTCATCTTAAACTCAAAGATATTCTGACAGAATCCTTTGAATCTTATTATTTTTCTTTTGACTGATTGATGAATCGACCAATTGTTTCAGTCTCCATCTTTTAAAACCTTCCAATTCACTCAAAGATAATTCAGAGCCGCAGTCAAATGATTTAAACTCACTGATAAACTGACTCCTGTTCTTTAAAATTGATCAAACACTGATTATTCTCATCGTGTTTTATGAACATCTCACATCAGGACCTGTTTAAGAAGGTGGTGCCCTACCACTGTCTGGGCGGCATCTGGTCTCAGCGGGATAAGAAGGGGAAGGAGCACCTGGCTCCCACCATCAGAGCCACCGTGGCCCAGTTCAACTCCGTCACTAACTGCGTCATCACCACCTGCCTGAGCAACCCGACGCTGAAGCCCAACCAGAGAGCGCGGCTGCTGGAGCGCTGGATAGACGTGGCTCGGGTGAGCAGCCGCTGACTTTAAAATGATTTGACGAAATGTAAGTCAACAAATACAGTCGCGAGCGTAGACGTGAAACATAAACATGGTTTTGTTTATCGTTCGTGATGTGTTCAGGAGTGTCGGATCCTGAAGAACTTCTCTTCGTTGCGTGCCATCCTCTCCGCCCTGCAGTGCAACGCCATCCACCGCCTGAAGAGGACCTGGGAGGAAGTGTCACGGTAGGTTTTCAGTCTCTCCTCTGTAAAACTCATTTCGTTGCTTTAAAGAAATAAAAATATCTTTTCTATCTCGGTGCAAACTTTCATGTTCTTCGTGCACGTCTCTCCGTGTCCGTCCACAGAGAAAGCTTCCGCACCTTCCGCGAGCTGTCCGAGATCTTCTCAGACGACAACAACTACTCCCTCAGCCGAGAGCTGCTGGTGAAGGTGAGTCAAACCAAAGCAACAGAAATTATAAACTCTTCATTCACAGTCTGATGAAGGTTTTGCACGAGCGATGAGTTTTTACAGATTTCAAATCTGGACGTGCAGCCGCAGGAGCCCCCCCCCCCCCCCCCGGAAAGAATAATATTATTCTTGAGCAGCCTCCAATAAGAAAGTGTACAGATCAGTTTTTGAGACATAAGCTTCCTCTGTGACCCTGAACAATGATTCAATAATAAGATCGAGTTTCACAAAAAGAAAAAAAAACGGTCAGAGAGACGATCGGATGAAGTAGTTTTCTGACCGGATGCTATTTAATAAAACCAATCAATCAATCTGTACGAGTTATATAACTCCTGAACAGATGGCAGCGGCTCAGTGACCCGTCCCATCAGCGGACTTCCTTGTGTCAGACTCACAACAGCTGCAGAGGAACGTCCAGAGGAACATCCTTCAGGGCAGAACACTGTGTACCCTGTTCCTCCGGATCGCAGCGTCCACGTATCGCTCATGATGTCCTGGGCGGGCTCCCTGCAGCCGACAGATCGCTGTCATCATTATTGGGATTTATGCGCGAGTTTAATGCGAAGAGGTGTCGACACCTCCGGAGTGTTTTGCAGCTGAAGTTGAAGTCAGGTTAAGAAGATGAGATGCAGAATCTACATTAGCCCATGTAGCTCATGAGTTCATGTCGGGAAAGAGCATCTGTGGAAAATGGAGAGCCTGATTATCACCTGTAGAAAACAGAAGAGTTGTCACAACCAAAAATAAAAACCTTTCTGATGTCTGCACTTCATCTGTGACGCAGCCTGAAGCCGCTGGTTCCTGTCTTTTAAAGTGGGTCACAAATATATTCTTTCTTCTCAGTGATTTCCCGAAACAGCTGCTCACTGAAGTTTTTAGTAATATATGATAAACTAGTCTTTTTTTTTTACTTGTTTCTTATTGAAAAATATATAAAATATTTGAAAATGATCCTTAAAAAAAACGACTGGAAACAGTTGAAGCTTTCTGCCTTGAAGATAAATATGTGAGTCCAGGTGAAGACCGAAGATGGTGAATGTGTAATTACGCTCGCTGATGTAACGCCCGCGGGTTTCCTCAGAGGGGAATCCCTGCTGACGTCACAGGGAGGGAACCTTCTGGCAGGTGTAGATAACAGCAGGGATCTGTAAAACCTCGGGCGTCACCTCTGTCTCTCGCTCTATCTGCTCGGGTCAGCAGGCGGTGGTTGCCGGACTCAGGCAGCTCGAGGAGCTCGGGGCTGCGGGAGGCCTCTCTTACATCACGCTGAGGAATGTGCCTGGAAACGCTCAGGGGGGATTTTCTCCACTTTTTTCTCGGAGGTTACGTTTTTCCCTCCTGAACTTAAGCAACAAAGCAAAAGTGTTTTGAAGAAGCGTCGGCGTGAAAACACAGACACGTTGGTTCATGTTCCTGCTTCGTAATAACAGAAAATACTTCACACACCCGAGAGTTGGACAGATGTTTTATTAAAATGGTTTTAATCTAAGAAGTGTGACGATAGGAATGATAGAGTTGTTGTCTGTGTTTGCAGGTAATCAAACTTTGTAGGTGAATTAGTGGAAACTTTCTGTGACAGTTGACGTCTGATGTCTGTTACTGTTTTTCTAGGAGGGCACTTCTAAGTTTGCAACGTTGGAGATTAACCCCAAACGAGCTCAGAGGAGGCACCAGCAGCAGAGAGACCTGGTGAGTCGTCTGCACGGAAACACAGGTTTAATTGGAAACAGATAAAAACTTTGTCCACCAATCACCTGAACAGAGAGAGCGTTTCGTACCAACGGCGTCACCTGGTGGCAGAGGAAGCCCCTGCAGTTTGTTCAAATCATGCAAAAACTGGATATTTGTCTACATATGTGTGATGTTTTCTTTAAGTTTAAATTTCATTCGTTTCTCTGCGTCTAAAACTCGACTGTGTCTCTGTGAACAGGGGGTGATGCAGGGGACGATTCCGTACCTGGGGACCTTCCTGACGGACCTGGTGATGATGGACACTGCCATGAAGGACTACACTGAGGTCAGACTCCTGTCCAGCACCAAGCTGACGCTGTCACAACGTGTTTCTATCACTTGCTCATGTTTTTGTCTCTTTTCCCAGGGTGGTCTCATCAACTTCGAGAAGAGACGAAAGGTAAAGTAAACCTTCTACTTTGGGTTTCGTGATCTAACAAACCAAGCAGGACAGAGATTAGAGGTTTTTTTACATTGTAAAATTCCTAATCCCTGCTCCTCCCTGTCTCCTGCTCTGCTCCTTGTCTGCAGGAGTTCGAGGTGATCGCTCAGATCAAGCTGCTTCAGTTGGCCTCCAACAACTACAGCTTCACTCAGGACAGCCACTTCAGAGAGTGGTTCGCATGCGTGGAGAAACTCAGCGAGGCAGAGAGGTCAGTCAGTCCGCTCACACTGTGCATGAAGCCGACAGCTGGTGTCGCTCCTCTGTCTACAGGGGTGGGGGGGGGTATTTCCAGTGTCACAGCTGCAAACGAGAAAATAGAAATAGAAAGATCAGTAAAAGTGAAACCAATGTTCCCATGATAGAAAATGAAATACACAGTGTGAAAACAAATGAACACAGTCACCGTCCTGACTTCCTGTTTCCCGCAGCTACAACCTGTCCTGTGAGATCGAGCCTCTGTCGGAGTCGGCCAGCAACACGCTCAGGGCCAAGAAGAACGGAGGAATCATGAAGCGCTGGAGCGAGTAAGTGACGCTGCCGGTCAGAAGTGAACACACAGAACACGCAGCCAGATAAATCTGGAAATAAAAAATATGACTCTTCCTCCTGTTGTCATCTCGTCTTCAGTCGTCAGTTGACCGAGGCCGGCTGCAGCGGCGGCGCGGGCTCTCACTCCAAGTCCTTCGACCAGTCACACTACAGACCGTACCAAGGGGGCGGGGGCGACAGCGGCGACGCCCTCAGCGTCACCTCCGTCAGCTCCAGTGGATCAGACCTGGAGGACGTGAACGCCAGCTTCTTGTCCGACTCCCCTGAAGGACACGAGAGGAAGGTGAGCGGAGGAAAGCTGAGTAAAGCTTGTGTGTTGTGTATTAAATGTGTGTGTGTGTGTGTGTGTGTGTGTGTGTGTGTGTGTGTGTGTGTGTGTTTTCCACAAGAGGAGAAAAATCAGCTGCAGCTGTTTGTTGATGATTTCTGTTTCGTTGTTTCTTCTCCAGACGTCGACTCCGTCAGTGAAACTCACCGTCTCTGCTCTGGGGAGAGAAGCTCCGGCAGCAGATACAACGTCAACGGTAACTTTTTTTTTTTTAAAGTTACGCTTTTTGCATTTTTATCAAATAGACACGTGTTGAGTGTAGACTGATGTCGTCACTGTAATGTGTATTAAACACCCACAATGCACTGCGATGCTCTATCCTCACCCTCAGTTCTGGGAGTGTACGTCTCTGTCGTCTCTGGACACCTCCGGGATGGGATCCAGCTCCGGCTCGGCCTCCGGCTCCAGCAGCGCCTCCTCCTCCTCCGTCTCCTCCTCCACCCCGCTGTCGGCGTCCCGCTCACACAAGCGCTCGGTGTCGGCCGTGTCCAACTACTCGACTCTGTCGTTGCCGCTGTACAACCAGCAGGTCGACGACTGCTGCATCATCAGGGTCAGTCTGGACGTGGAGAACGGAAACTTGTACAAGAGCATCCTGGTGAGTTCACGCTGCAGTGACATCAGATCGTTCACTTCCATTTTTGTTTCATTTTTACTTCTTGTCGTTTGTTTTTCTGTTTCACAAACAAATTAAAACTGTTTCTTTATTTGAATAAACTATAAATCTAGAAAGTATCAGTGACATCATTGACTCGCAAACATCAGGACATTTCACATGTGTGAGATTTTAGTTTTTAGGAAGCGAGAGTTTGAATTTTAATGCTTTTTTGCAGTTTTTCTAATCTCGATAAAAAATATTTCGCGTTGTGGAACAGATGTAGTTTTAATGTCTGTGGTCGTTTTGTTTCAGGTCACGAGTCAAGACAAGACTCCGGCCGTCATCAGGAAGGCCATGATCAAACACAACCTGGAGCGAGAGAAGTCCGAGGACTACGAGCTGATGCAGAAAATCTCTGAGGACAAAGGTAAACACAGCGTCTCGACAGAGAGCCGCGTGTTTCAGGTTTGGGTTCTTTATCGTCGATTAGTTTTAGTTGACTCTCTCTCTCTCTCGTCTCGTTCTGTAGAGCTGCGGATCCCGGACAACGCCAACGTTTTCTACGCCATGAACTCCACTGCCAACTATGACTTTGTGCTGAAGAAGCGCGGCTTGGCTCGGCCGGTGCGAGCCAAGAACGTGGCCAGTTCGACGCTGCCTCGCATGAAGCAGAAGGGACTGAAAATCGCGAAAGGGATCTTCTGAGGCGACGGGCACGGTTTTCTGTCTCCCCCTTCACCCCCCTGAACCCTCTCTGGTCTCCGCTCCTCAGAGGAAACATTTGTGTTTCGCGTCTGCCGGAGGGAAACCAGCCTGAAGTATCTGAGTTTTGGTTTGGACAAGGACTTGAGATCGCCAGAAGAGAAACGACCACGCACCCTTTCTGCGGACGAGCAGGACGCAGAGGAACGCCTTCGCTCTCTGCTACAGCCGTCGCGTCATCGGGACCCGCCGAGGATTTGAAGAAGCGGAGTCGCTCGCCGGACGCGCCCACGTGGAAGCTGTTTCTGACCTTCGTGGGGAAAAACAAACGGTTGCGTCGGAGCCGCGTCGCTGCCGCTCGGTGGCTGAACTCGTCGAACTCTCCGCCAGTGTTCTGGTTTGCGTCGGCTCGTGGAAAAGCAGATTCATTCATTTCTGTTTACATTTGTTTACATTTTAACATCACCTGGTCAGCTCTTAATTTTTTATTTTTTTTTTTACTCTCACGAGAGGATTTTTGCACCTTCACTTAAACACTTTTTTAATCCCTCGACAGCCTTTGTCCCCGTGTTTTCCTCCGCGGCCGTCTCGCACGCCCCCTCCTGGCATGGAGTGTACATAAATGAACTAAACGACGCCACAGCGGGTAAATGCAGATTATGTGTTTCAGCTGGGTGTTCGAATGTGTTTCTATTTTTTCAGGGAACTTTTGTCATGAGTGTACCACCGCCTTTACCGTCCCCGTCCCCCCGTCCCTGTCCCTCCCGGATCCCTGATGTGGACAGTGTGTTTGCTGGACCGCAGCACTGAACGTTTGTCTCTCGGACGCTGGGACTCACGTCGGCGTTTTCACACCAGCGACACTGACGAGGAGGAATCTGAGCTCTTAACTTCTGAACGCTGCCATGTGACCAAAAAAAAGAAGAAAAAAAAAGAGGACAGGTCGAGATGGAGACAGTGTCAAAGTCCAGTCCAGTGGGCACAGCCATGAATCACATGCCACTGTTTTTTTTCGTTTGTTTTTACTGAAGCGTAACCACTACAGCGAGAGGGAGGCGTCAGTCGTGTGGTCGCACTCGACTGGGACAGATTGTGAGAGAAGAACAAACGAGCTGAAAACAAAACGTACACAAAGTGTAAATATCCATTAACACCGACTGTGCAGTGTCTTCTTTTGAAATGGACCGTGAGATTTTGTTAATAGACTCGTTCACACGGCATCAACACTTGTTTGATTTGGCTTTTGTTCCTGCATCTCTCTGCTCTGGTGCTGCTGATCATCTCTCTGAAGAGGTCGCACGAGCTGCAGGCCGCCGCTTTCTCTACTTCCTGTCCGCCGGCCGCCATGTTGGAAGAAATGTCTCTCAAACACGCAGAAATTCATGAAATCCCAAGGAAACGGGACTAAAAAAAGAAATTTTGTAAAAAAATACTGAAGAATTATCAGGAAATGAATCTAATATACAACTGACACAACTAAAAACTAATATAATATAAAATAATTATAGTAATATTATTTGTTTGAGCGTCAGCAGCAGTGAAGGCCGGCCGACCGTGTTCACGTCTATTATTTAACATGAGGTGAATCAAACCGGAGCTGTAACATCATCATCTACTGCACAAGACAAACTCTGGGATACAAAACATAATTATTACAGAATGAACTAAAATATCAGATATTATTCTAGCAGCTCTTCCAACGTGGTGGCTCATCCTTCATATTCAATCTCAACCACTTTCTAAATGTGCCATGACAGGCCTGTGTGTTTCAGACGCCCCGGACACGTCCTGCTGATTTATCCTGCAGGACGTGTCATCGCGGTGTCGGCTGTGGTTAACGTGCAGGGGATGACGGCAGAGTCTCTCCTCTCTGGACTCCGACTCTCAGCCGGTGAGGAAAAGATGGATTTTGATGATTCACGCCTGTAAAATGAGTCAAAACACAGAGAAGCTCCTTTTAATGGTTGAGGTTTGATTGAGACTTTGCGTCGGAGCCCAGATTCATGAAACAAACTCTCTGTGCTGTTCTCAGCCTGTTTCTCTTAAAGGAAAAATCCAACCTGAAAACATCTTCAAAGATAATCTGGGATTTGGTTTCCGTTCAGTTACGCTTCATCCTCATGGATCATTGTTGTTTCTTTTCTGGATTTTCTCTGCTTGCAAACAACAGTCACTTGAGAAATGATCCGGTTTTTTAAATGATTAACTGAACCTCAACTCCACTTATTTGCTGTGTCTGTTCAGCTCGGCACAAACTCTGTATTTTAAAGCTGATATGAGCTGATTTTACATTTTCTGAAACACTGAGCGACAAAAGCAGCTTCTGTTCATTGGCTTCGATTATAATGATAATGTAATTTCATGATAATAATATAATAACCATGTTTATTTGTAGAGCACTTTTCGGTGGCAGAGGGCACCAAATAAAAATCTAAATTATTAAAAAAAGATTAAAGCAGAGGTGAAGGATGAAATTTAAAAAAAAATGTAAGTTTGACAAAATGTAATAAAAACTCAAATAAAACCAAGATCGTCTCTTTGATAAAACTTTGGTTAAAGACAGAATAATGATTTCAAAGACGTCACTCACTCAAAGACGTGATGGGTTCACACACACGCAAAAAAACTAAGGTTGGATTTCTCCTGGTGACTTTTTCAAACCACAGCAACAAAACTCTAAACTTTGCCTGGATTGTCGCCACGTTCTGCCTTTTCTTTGTTCAGTTTTTTTTATTTTCGCCTGCATGAAGTTCATAATTCTCTCAACGATCAAATGAATGAAGCACCCATTAAAAAAAACTAAAAAGAAAAAACAAACTGCGGAAGCAATATAGTGGTGAGCGGCGGCGGCGGCGGGAGGCACGTGGCTGTCGTGGATGTTGTTGGTGCCACTGTGGCGTGAAATCCTTCGCTGTTGAACACTGTGACCTTCAACCCCTTCACTCCGCCCGCTGATTGGCGCATCACGTCGAGCACTGTGAACAAAACAACACATCTCATTCCCTCGTTAATGGTGTCGTAGTGAACGTAGTGACAGGTTTGACCCTTTGACCCTTCATGTGCCAAAAATAACAAGGGAAGAGAGAGAAGGTTGATTTAACTGACGAGTCTTCTGCCTTTCACAGTGGGAAAAAACAAAAAACAAGGTTGTGTGTTTACTGTTGTTGCTTTTTTTCTCGCTGGAAAACTAAAAAAAAAAAAGGGTGAGAACACTTAAAAAAATGAAATAATGATCTGGTCACATTTCCCTGTGGAGGATTAGAGACGTCCAGGAAACTTGAAGCAAAGGTGTTTGTCAGGAGCTGAAGCTGAAGCTGTTGAGGAAACGTCACGTTCATGAGTTTTTCATGTTTGAAGCAGGTTTTTATTCCAAACAAACGCCACAGCTGACGACTGACAGAGAGATGTGAGCGCAGGTGATCGATGGTGTCGAGCTTCATCAGAGAGACTTCATTCAAACTGTAAACTTCCAGAACGTCGAGTGTTTCCTCTCACTGGTGCTCGACAGCAGAGACACGTTGGTTTTGTGGATGTTTCAGGGATGAAAACACTTTAAAAAATCATTTTATCTTCCAACACCAACATTCACGAACACATCGAAGAGCCGGTGACTTTCCTGTTGAATGTATTCAGACATTTGCAGTCCGTGGTTTTTAAGAGTTCCTCCCCCTGACGGTAGATTATCGGAGAGAATCACAGCTGCAAATGTACATTTGTACTTTTTTTTTTTTACACGATGAGTTGAAACGGTGTCTGATTCACTGATTCCCCCAAAACGACGAATCGTCAACAAATTCCAAGGAAAGACACAAAACAAGTTTGTGTTCGTGTCTCAGCACTTTCTGACTTTGTAGGTTCCTGCTGAGGGTTTCATCAAATCACAAATACATTCAATCTGCAATATTACTAAACAAGTTGACAAATTAGGAAATAATGAATTTGTCAGGGACTATTAGTAATAATAATTAACTTGATTTATACATAATTTACATGTAGAAATAGATTGTAAAATGATTTTTTTTAAATAGAATAAGCCTCACAGGTTAGGGGGTGAAGTAAAAACACACACAAAGACACAAAACGTCTGAAGAGGGACACGAAATGACTATAAAGACTTTCAGAAGGACAGCAAAGACAAAAGCAAATGAAAAAAACACAAAAGAGTCTTTCAGGCTCCTAATGTTCTCAGCAGAGATGGGGGGGGGGGGCATTGTCTCATAATTGGTCCGTGCCAGTGAGTATTTGGGACAACAAATCTGTCTGTGTGGTGATGGAGGACCATGGGACAGAGTGTAACTCACTGACGTCTTCTTAAATTTAGAAACAATAGAGATACACACACACACATATATATATATATATATATATATATATATATATATATATATATATATATATATATATATATATATATATATATATATATACATAGTGGGCTGTGTTCACTGTTGGTTTACATGAGATTTGTTGACCATAATGTGACCAGACCTTTTGTCCAACACTACTTGAACGCAGCATCAGTCCTTTTATTCTGGCCTGTTTGTTTGGAACAAAACCTTTTTCCTGATGAAACGAAGTAAACGAGTGTGATCGTGGTTCCACGGTTCCTTTGCATCGCTGGTGTTTCTGCAGCAGCTCCGGCTCTGGTTTTTTTTCTACGTGTGCTTGTTTTTTCTCCGCTGGGTTTGAGAAGGTGAAGCTTGTGCTCGTGTTGTGGAGGTTGACGTGGATTCCAGGAGCGTCTCTGTGCCGATGAGTTTGATAATGTTGGGAGTGGTCTGTGTGTCGTTGTAGCCTTGTGTTGACATGAAGTACCTTTTGTGATTTGACCCAATTCTGTGCGAGTTTGAACAATAAAAAAAGCTGAGTTTACAAGAAAAGAAAAAAAAAAAAAAACTGGAAACCAGCTGGCGTGGTGTGTCTGATTTTATTTCAACTTTTTGTTTTCGTTCCCCTGAACTGTGCTCGGGTGCCATTTTCCATTTTAACAAAGGGTTTTGAACTTTTTCTAACTGCAGTCTCTTCTTTCATTTACGTTTCCTAACTTTCCCAAGAAAACAAAACCTGTCGAGAAAACAAAACTGTCCTTAAGTATCTCTTTGTTTATTTATTGATTTGTATATAGAGATTTGGTTTTGCATTGTACATTCTCTCCTCTCTTGGTTATAGATTAATATATTCATGTATATACGAATAAACATTAAGTTTCTGAAGGTAAAAAAAAAGAGTTTTTCTTCTTTTGTCTTTTTTTCTTGCTGTGTGTTTAAAAACAACTCTGAAAACTATTTGTGAAACTATTTTTATTGGTTTAAATTCAACATGAGTTTATCGTCGACTGTGTTTTTTACAAGACACGACAAACGTTCACTTAAAGAAAACGACAAATGAAGAAAACACACACACTGACAGGAAGGAAGAAAAACAACTACATACATAAAAAGTTGGAATCTAACATTAAATTAAAGTAAGTAGTACAAATACCACTGAAAATACTCAACTACAAGTAAAACTCCTGTATTTTAAATATTATTTGAGTAAAATAATATAAATTCAACCAGGATTCGATCATTAGATGATTATATATAAAAAACTTATTTAATCATTTTAAACTAAATTTAAAAAAAAATTGCAACTCATGATTATTTTCGTTTCGTTATTCTGACGTCGTCTCTCCGCGACGGGACGCGCCTGCGCAGTGGAGCAGATCTTTGTTGTTTGGTGTCAACATGGCGCTCAGCAAAACGTTTGGACAAAAACCGGTGAAGTTCCAGCTGGAGGAGGATGGAGACTTCTACATGATCGGGTCGGAGGTTGGTCGTTTATTCAACAAACATCTTTTCACCGGTTTAATCATCCGAGCGGAGATTTGTGGGTTTTTATTGTGTTTTTTTTAAACCCGACAGTCGCTCCGCTAGCAGTTAGCCGAT